ATGCCCTGCCCAAGGTCCTTGGCAAATGGGCTTGGATATATTTTGAAAACATTGAATCCTGCCCTCCTACCCTTAGGCTTGTGTTGTCAGTGAGAGATAGAGAGATAGAGATTGAGACTGAGATAGAGATGAGAGACAGAGAAAGAGAGAGATTGGAGGGGGGTGGCCCAATCAGATTATCTTTCTTAGGAATCTGATGAACCGCCCAGAAGGCAGCTGACCATCAGAGGCGGGAGCTGGGATGATGGCTTTGAGTGGCCATTGATGTAAAGTTACAGAGGGGCCAAAGTAGTAGGTAAGCAGGGGAAACTTCAGAAAATAGGGGAGAATGAAGCAGATTGACAGAGAGAAGTAAAGGAAGTACAGGAGAGAGATTTTACAGTCCTAGCTCTCGCTAGACTGGGTTACATCTTCATTTTCTATTCTTGAATTCCCCTACTACAGCTTTACTATGAAACCTGATTGCTTAGGCTACCTTAAGTGGGTCTTTTTTCTTGAGGCCAAAAGCCTTATCCTAAATAGTCCTAATGTATTAGATACGCAGGCTTAGTCAAAAAAACAAATTGCCATTTAGACGTAATCCAGGCACACCCAGATGGATTAGTTAGGCCACAGACCTCTTTGCTCTTATACTCCATTATATGCATTGGAGTTAATTTATGCCAGTGTGTTGGAAGGATCAAAATCATAATCTTTTGAAGTTACACCCTCCCTACTGAGCAGGAAATCTTTTAACACCATGCAGTTTTTGTTCTGATTGAACTTACCTGATGGTGTTCCAGCTGCGTCTTGTTCTGTTTGATGATATTCTCTTTTTCTAACAGCTCTTTCTGTTGCCTCTCAAACTCCTCCTTCCCCTGTTATTTTTCAACATAAAGAACACATTACATCATTGTTGTGATTCACTTATGTTAATAATTTCATCAACAAACGTGTAAATACTCTTGTCATTTTCCACTGCCTTGCCAATTTAGCACATGCCTGGTTCAGCCCTATGAACTCAGACAGGGATGACATGCTTCTCTACTGGACTTTGGAGTCATTGTGTAGACTGAGGCTGAAAAATACAATCCATTTCCATGTGGGGCGCCATGATATCTGGCTCACCTTCCCATTTTCGGAGAGCTACCCACGGTCCCCTTCAAACCCCCTTAAGCGGCACTATTTCTCAGGGCTCTTTCCTAAGAGATTATATGTGAACCCATAAACCTCCAACACACGTCCACATGCGGTCCCCATTTCACTTCTGGTTGCCTCAGATCATCTGCAGATTTCTACTCCCAGTTAGTGTTTCCCAATGTGTGGAGTTGGACAACCAGTGAGGTGAAAGTTTAGTACCTCCAGCCGGTCTCCCCACACTTTTCCTCAACACAGGTGTGGCTTGGTTCTCCTTCTCACACTCTCTTGCACTCAAGGGAAGTTGGTAGTTTAATAGTTCTCAGTATAATCCATGGCTTTCAATCAAATTAAAAGAATGGCAGAATAAGACAGTAAGCCTAATTCTAAATAATAGATCTTGCTAGAGTGTTTTAATCCCTCAAAGTGGAAGGGCAAGCTTTCAGGATCCCAGGTCAACTTGGAACTTGGTAGAATCCCCACTTGTAGGAGGCTGACCGTGATTGCCCAATGTTCCATACACAAATTAAGCTCTAGGCCAATTGGCAAATTCTAAATAATAGATCTTGCTAGAGTGTTTTAATCCCTCAAAGTGGAAGGGCAAGCTTTCAGGATCCCAGGTCAACTTGGAACTTGGTAGAATCCCCACTTGTAGGAGGCTGACCATGATTGCCCAATGTTCCATACACAAATTAAGCTCTAGGCCAATTAGCAAATGCCCAGTAATCCTCTAGGAAAGTGTGAGATGGGGTTAAGCTTGTAAGCAGTTACACACACACAGACACACACACTATAGACCTAGAAGGGACCTTAGAAATTCTCTAATACAGGAGTTTTCAATTTTTTTTCTTAACAGTGAAACCAATTTTTCCCCCAAATAAAATATCATATGGAGCTATAGCCTGTAATACAAATAGAAGTGGAGCTGGTATTATTAGGGGCCCATTCTCCTACTTGCTGAGCGTCCTGCTGGCCTGGGGCACATCAGTGGGATCTAATACAGTCTCGCACATCATTCATTTTGCAAATGAGGAAGTTAAGGCCCAGGGAGGTTAAATAAGTTGGTCACATAAGAAGCGCTGGAGAAAGGTCTAGAGCCGAGGACTCAGGGCCTCAGTTCGGGCTTCCTCCTACTGTACAACATCATCTCCAGTGTGTGAACCACTGGGACTAGCACTAATCGTGGTCCCTCCTTTGGTGGTCCAGCCCGACAGCCTTACAGGCATTCGTCCCAGCTCTCTGCCCGTGAGTGCAGGTGTCGGATAAGTCTGGCTTCTTTACCTGCAGGTGGACGTAGTCATAGTCATCCATCCAGCTCCTTTCGGAACCGTCGCTGCTGCTACAGTCAGGGGCCTGGTCCTTGCCGAGGCCTGGGGGCAATGGCTTGGTGTGGGCCTGCGCCTTGTGCTCAGCAGGATGCAGCAGCTGCATGGGGGAGCCCCCACGCGGGTACTCGGTCGAGTTCGTGATACTCTCGGGCCCGTTCTTCAGCTGCAAGCTGCCGGGGCCGGGCCTGAAGAGGGCCTCTGCGTTGGTGTTGATGGTGGTGGTGAGCTGCTTGGCGTCATCGGGCACCGTCTTTGCCACCATCACAAAGCGGTCCAGGTCGTCGCACTTGTTCTGGGGCTTGTTGATGGCCAGGATATTCAGGGACCAGCTGCACTCGTTTAAGTCCTGGCTGGTCTGACTTAGAATCTGGTGGGAGTCTTCCACTCGTTGGAGCTCCCGCTTCATCTTGCTGTGGAGGGAGAGCTCCGGGAGGCAGGCGGCGTTGGCCGCGGCTCCCCTGGCGAAGTGCAGGTACTCGCGCAGGAGCAGCTCCACCTTGTCCGCCGCCGTGCGGATCTCGTTGACGTGCCTTTCCATGTAGCGGTAGCACCGCCAGTCTGTGGCGACCAGCGCCAGCAGGCCGCCCACGCCCACCTCCAGGGCCTGCTGCAGCCGGTGTAGCCTCTCGATGGCCGCGTCTGGGTCCAGCAGGAGCCTTTTGTCCGGAGACGGGGAGGCCGACAGCGAGGACTCCTTGGAGGAGGTGGAGGACGTGGACATGTTGCTCCTGGTGCTGCCCGTGCTGGAGAAGGACAGCCGGTTGATCCCGTCCGCCACGTCCCGGGAGCCCTTCGCGTCCGGCGCGCGGTGCAGGGGCACGTCGTAGACGCCGTCGCTTTCTTCGGGCCGCGCGTTCTCGCTGGCCTCTGCGGGCGGCTCGAGGAGCTGAACTCCTCGCGGGACGTCGTAGGCGTCGCTCCGAGCCGCGCCCGGGCCGGGCTGCGCGGCGGGGCGGTGCAGGGGCGCGCCCTGCTGGAGCCTGCGCGCCCCGGCCTCCGCGGCCCCCGCGGCGTCGCAGCACTGGGCCGCAGGCTCCTTCCCCGCCGGCTGGCTGCTGGCGGGGGGGATGTCGTACACCCCCTCGGGCCTGAAGCCCGGCCGGGCAGCCTGTCTCACGGGAGGGGGGAAATCGTAGTCTTTTTCCCTAGGCCCGGCTTCGTCGCGGCAGGCAGAGGGTGGGACGGCATACACCTGAAGAGTGAGCGGAAAGCAACACGTTATTTGTTCAGCGGGCTCAGAGGAAGGCGCAGACACTGACTCCTACCTGACCTGGAAGGGCAGAATCCTCTGTCCTGTTTGCGGCTCCTTTCCTTTTGCATTTCCCACGGCTCTCCTCTCCGCCGCTCCCACTCCCCTCACCCGCTGACACGTGGACCCACTCCCCGGTGCTTGGTGCTGCCTCGAACGTGCAGCCCTCCTGGCTGCTTGCTCAGCCCTTGCTCGTGGCCCGTGCAGTAGCGCACGGGACCGGTGTCAGAGGACCTGAGGTCTCTCCCTGGTGTCCCCGTCATCACACCAGCTGTGTTCTGAGAGCTAGTGCCCTTATCTATAAAGATAACTGCACTTCCTGTGCAGGCACACTCTGGGGGTGACAGGGAGTCCAACGAGTTAACCCATGCATATGCGCTGGGTAAGCTGTGAAACCCTCTTTAAATATGAGATGTATTAGTACCTGCTGAACGGAGCTAATTATCTTCCCTTCCAATTGGTTCTCCTTATTGGCTTCCCCATTTCTTTTAGTGGAGGCCCCTAAATATGGAATTCCTATAGTTATCTTTAATTATTATCCTTCCTTCCTTCCTTCCTTCCTTCCTTCCTTCCTTCCTTCCTTCCTTCCTTCCTTCCTTCCTTCCTTCCTTCCTTCCTTCCTTCCCTCCCTCCTTCCTTCCTTTGTTTGCTCACTCACCAAGATGACTTTTTCCCCTTTTGGGTTTGTCCTTCTTGTTTTATCTCAATAAATACCCCCCACACAGACACACACATATGCCCCTTCCTGCTGCTTTGCCGTAGCTCACTTACCCCTTTAGTAGGAGGGATGTCATAGACCCCTTGAGGTTTTATCTCTCCCACTGGAACTGAAAACACAGGGCCTTTCATGGATGAGGGAGGGATGTCGTATACCTGAAGAGAAACACTCAGAGTTACCCAGAATGGAAATATCTTATACTTGTCACTTGTTAACACTACTAAGTGTGTAATGATGGATTTATTTATCAGGCTATGTACAGGCCTGATCTTTGGCAATGTTCCATGTCATAGGGGTTGATGGAATTTTTTGTGTAAGTTTTGTGTTCTTTGATTGAGATCAAATATAAAAGTGATCTTACATGAAATATCTACACTGTAACTTTAAACCATAGTTTAAATTTTATACTTTCCAATGTAAAATGATAAGGCAATAAAAGGTTTCTCAGATGAAAGACGAGAATTTCCTGATCAAGCAAATCTAGAACACATAATTTAAATAATATTGGCTAATACAGCTACTCGCTAGACAACCTAAATAAAGCTTCATGTGAAATGTGCATAATTTGGGGACTTCCTTTCCTCTACAGCCCTGAAGGATCACTGGCCTTAAGAGCTTCTATCCCCTGGTGACCGTGTTGCTGGTACGTACCCCTTGGGTGGTATGGGAGGGAGGGATATCATAGACGTCCTTCTGGTACCTGGATGGGTACTCGTACACATAGCCATGGCCTGTCCTCACTGGGGTTATCACCTGTGGGCAAGAAGACACAGATGTAAAATTCCAAGCCTGAGTCCTTAGCAAATCTCCTAGTCTCTAATCAGGCATTCACCCCTCATCTCTCTGCCATAAAAACGTAAAAGGAAAGAAAACAATGGAAGAAAGAAGAAAGAGAGAAAAGGAAGGAGACACCAGGTTAGAAAACTTTAAAATTCCTCTTGGATCCCAAGGAGGCATAAGTCCTTGAAATATTTCTATCGACCTTCTTCATGGTAACAAAATCATCTCAAAGTTCATCAGATGAAGTCTCAATTCCCAAAATATACTTTCAGGGAGACTCATTTTTAAATTATGAAAGTCCTAGATGATCCCTCTGGAGCATCCAAAGTGCAGTATACTGAATTGTTTGGGTTTTTTTTTTTTTTTTAAGGTTCTGAAACTATTTGTAAAGTGAATAATGCAAATAGAGTTCATCCACTTAAAATTCCTCTCATATCTTCCGCAGTATGCCTCTTCATCTGACATTATTATTATGATTATAACTAAAATTCCATGGGTCACGAGAGTACTTTTACAAAGCCAATACTCAAACAGAGCTGTCCTTAGAAGTTTCTAGGAGGTTTGAATCTAATTTATGAAACAAAGAAAATACTGAGTCAGGGAGCTATGAAGAACAATGTTTAGGTCTCCTGACCTCTAGTCTCTAATCATTTTCTCATTTCCACCAGAGAAGAAAACATCCCCCTGAGTGTACCTACATCCAAGGAATGTCAGAAGTCAAATGTGCTCATCAGGACTCTGGCATCTGGTACCAATGCCAGTGAAATAAATCTCACCCAACAGCCTCCTATTCTCATACCTACACGCCTCACTGGTGTCCTAAGCACCAATAGGGAAATTACTTGAACTTAACTCACTGCGAAATATATTTAATCCTCCAGGGGCTTCTAAATTGCCAGGGTCTTGTTTATGCCCAAATCCCACCCCTCTCCCCAATCACTAACAGAGCCCACCTCAAGTATTGCCCAAGACATCTTTGAGGAGAACAGATATTGCAAATTAGGAAGAGCTGGTTGTTCCCTAAGAAACCATCATCTTTTATCCTTTCTCTGATGTGAAAATCTGGCGTCAGGCTTCCTACAAAACTATGTGAAAAATGCTCCACGTCTGTCTTACGCTGAAATGGGTGGAACTCAGCCAAATGCACCAATGCCCTTCTCCCCAGGGGCTTTAAAATGCCTGAGTTCAATTTGGTTTTAAATCCCTAGTGCTTACAACTCATTTCTTGCAATGAAGGTAAAGGAGATTAGTATGCAGTCAACATTTCCATCAAGTCTCTCCACTGTCTCGGGTTTAAAAAAAGAACCTATTGCTTTAAGGTTTGTTGGCATGGAGCTTAGAGAACCATTTTATAGAGTGGCCACTGTATTGTGCATAGCAAACCTTCCTTTTTAAAGCAGGGTGCCCTTTGCTAAAGAAAAACACACTGTGTTCCTAATGCCCTTATATAATATTTTTTAATTCACTCGCTATTGTCCAGGAGAGAAATGAAGACCTTCCCTTGGTCTATCTCCTCAGCCCCTCTATTTATAGCGCTCTGTTTTGGCTTTATAATAGAACTTGCTCACAACGCAGCTTTTGTTCAGCCTTAAAGTTTCTAAGAGTAGATTTTATCCAAGGTTGCCAACTTAGTAATAATGCTAATGGAAAACCAAGCCTGGTTATGCTGAAGTCCGGCTTAACTGTTCATCTTTTGTTTAAAAAAACAGAAGGGGGCAGAGAGGTAGAGGGGGTGATGCTGGGGTCTGAAAACAGCACCAGGTGACATATAAACATACAGCACGAGCTCAGAAAAGAGAGGCAAGGTCATGGCCAAAGCTTTTCCTTGCCTTTGTGGATCTTCCCTGGCACAGAGCGTTAATGCTTGCCGGTATTTAACATTTCACTGCCTGACAAATGTCACAGAACCTCAACTTGCTCTTTCTTTCTCATTTAGAGGATGCCTGTGGTCATCTGGTTTTTAAAAACTTTGCATTCCAAACCAGTCATTTTCCTTGTTTATGCATTCAAAGAAACAGATGGTGAAAACCACAGGGGGAAAAAGCCAACGGAATAGTCTCCCCCATTCCAGCCTTCCCAATGTTACCATCTAATTCACGTTGATCCACAAATGACATTTAAATGGGACCAGCGTTTTGCATCTGGCCGGACTCGTCCAGGGCGTACTGTGATCTGCACTGTGACATCTGGAAGATCAGGGAGCTGAAGGCTTCTACTTTGGGACATTTTCTGCCTCGACCCGTTGCTTGGGCCACTTCTCATGCCAACTGTGTGTTCTCTCCTCGGAGGAAAGTGCTGACTGAGCTGTACCTTACAAAGTCTCTAGTTTTGTGGTTTAGTAAGGCTTTTTCCTCCTGCTTGACACAAGCACACAAAAACTTTTCTACTATCTCTTTTCATTCTGCCTTCCAGAACTACTGAACCTTGGCCTAAGATGTACACCCAGGCCTGGCTAAGGGGGCCTCAAGTTTAGAAGAATTCTTCTGGATGTTTTTACGGTTAGGCATTAAAGGAATTGCTACACAAAGGGCATTTTTAAACTAATTTTCTCAATGAAATCAAATCAGGTTTTTCATTTCCTTTTCCTCTCCGTTTGTTTTTCTTTTCTGCATTCCTTTCATTCTATGTGTTTATTTATAGTTACCAAGGCTTAGCCTTAGGAATTGCCAAACTGACCTCTTAATTCATTAGTGTTGCCGTGAAGGGGCTGAGTTGTGAGCTAGCTCTCCTGGGGCTCTGAGACTGAAGGCCACTGCAACTGCCGCCCCAGTTACCCGCAGAGGATTTGCACTTCCCAAATGTGGATTTTCTGTCCTGATGAGGAATCAGATCCTCCTCAGACGTTAAAGTCTCAAGACAGAGACTCTGAGAAGAGCTGTGAAACACGGAAGGGAACACTGTAGACATTTAGAGGAGGGAGAGTCCCTTTAATACTTGGCCAAGGCTAGGTAGGCCCTGGCTGGGTGTGAGCAAAACTCCAAAGACTGGGGTTATGTTAGTTTTCTCATTAATCTGCTTACATGAAAACAAGAAAACAAACTCGGCTTGCCCCACCCCCCCACCCCACTTTGACAGTGGGTGTTTGATTCACGCCGTTTAGAGCCTCAGATCCTGGCAGCAGGGGCTGTTTGGGGAGATGCTGTAGATCCCGTCATGTCTCATAATCGTGAGAGCCATGTGTGCCGAAATTTTAAAGACGAGAATCTGTGTTTGGGGAGCAGGGAAGGCCAGGGAATGCAGAGAACCAACACATGTGGGAGTCGGCCAGTTGGAAGAGAGGCCCGTGGGGTGCTTCATTGACGTTCCACGCGTGGGCTCCCTGGGCTTGTCCCTGGGACTCAGCAAGGGTCCTACGTGCAGATGCTTGGGGCCTAGCAGGTGGGGATCGCGGGGAAACAAGCTGGGCTTCAGTGTCGGAGAGACAGAACTCGCATCTTACAGAAAGGAGGTAGACATTGCGCCCTGTGTCGTCAGCTTGTTTGAATTTCCAGGGGAAGCCAGAAATCTGGATTATTATGTGAAATCTCCTGGTTTTCAAAATTGGCTCAAATTTTTAAAACAGCATCTCGGCCAAGCTAAACATGTCTCTGGGCCCTAGTCTGCCAGTCTTCATCTTCACTGGTGTGTTTCTGGCCCCTTCCTCAGGACTCGGAACCCTTCTGAAGGCAGGCCCCCAACTCTTCTGCAATTCCAAGCCTTGGCAAGACTGAACTGGTGTTTTCACTAATGCCCTGCACACCCACATATCTGTGCATTTATTCACGGCGTCTCTGTCTAAGGTGATCTTTCTTCCATCACAGTCAAACTTTATTCAGTTTTCAAGGCTAGGCTGAATGCATTTCTCCCGTGAAGACTTTCCCAGACAGATAACATTTCTCCCTCCTCGGAACTAGCGGAGCATGTTATCCACACATCTCTATTGGTATCATCACTTGTGGTTTGACAGTTGAGGTGCATCTCATCTCTTCTCTTAGCATTTTAGAGTTGGAGATCATTTCTTATTCATTTAGATGTAAACGGCAGGGCCTAGCACAGTACCTTGAACATAGTAGGTATTGAGCGAATACACTGATGAACTAAAGGAAAACTCAAGGCTATTCTTAAGCAAGATGGTGTGGAGCTCGAGAGAGTACCAAACAATCATCTGCCGCTATAGCATAAGCTCAGTTTCCAGGTAAGCCAGCCCTGCATTAAGTGGACACATGGGACAAGGAATAGAACTGGGCCTCATCAGCCATGCGTGGTAGCGTGGGGCAAGGGAGGGTGGTACCCAAACAGCACAGTGAATGTTAGGTGACGTTGAGAAACCAGAAACCAGAGAAGAATGTACCACCAGTTGGGTGAAACCACTACTGGAGGCCAAGGAGGGCAGCTAGGTGGCATCTGGTTTCCTTTTCCCTAGTGGAGCCTGCACATGGCTCGAACACCTGGGTTCTTCTTAGCCACAAGCAGAAACATATGAGGGAGAGTGTTGGAAAAAAGAAACCTAAATAAACCCTATTTTTTCACCTTGACATCAGAAGGAATATACAGTACAAAGGAATGGGAGTCATGCCAGCTCTAGTTCTGAGGATGGGTGACAGGCTTGTGGTGTGAGAAGCTGGGTGGCAGAGGCCATGGCCCACTGGGTCTTTTGCTCATCAGAAGAATTAGGTCTGAAGAAGGGGTAATTGACAACATAATCTGGACCCAGGCAGAACTGGAGCTAAATCCCAGCTCTACTGCTTACTAGCTAGTAGAACATGACTGTTTGGAGCCTTTCTCATTAGCAAAATAGAAATAGTAATAGTTATGTCATAGGCTATTTGTGAGTATTAAATGAGATGAAGTACATAAAAGTGCCTGGCATAGAGTAAAGCCATA